GGTGCTAGATTTGGTAATCAAAAGAATGGTATCAGGCACAGTACATGACATCTTGCAGCGCATGCAACAAGTCAAGGAATTCCTTGACTTGATTTGACCTCAGGCTCTTGTTTAAGCCTTGACTCAAGTTAAGGTTACGGTTTGCCTTGATTTGATACACATTAACGTTTCTGAGGTCATCGTCAGAAATATTAGCTATACGTCTTAACAATTTCCTGTTGATCCCTAGTGGTTAAGCTTAGCTCACGTTAGCCACCTAATTAATGCCTTATGCTGTTACCTTTATTAAACATTGATTATTATTACATCTGTGAGCACCATTCAACAATTTCGCTGACGAGAACTTGTTATTATGATGAATTTCGGTAGTTACCTAGTTTACCTTTTCAATGCCATCGATAAAGGGTTTAGCAATAGTAGCAGATTTAGAAATAGCAGCAAGTTCAGGGATGGGTTTAAGAGTAAGTTGGGACGGCAGAGTTAAAGGGTGCTTTGGTGCCTAACTAAGTAGTCAAGTCAAGGTATAAAATAGCCTCAATGCAAAAGACTGTCTTGGGCCATTTTCCAGCTTTGTACAGGTGGATGAATGCTCTGATGTATTTTCTTAACCACTAGCAACTATTCAATCTGGATACCTCCTAATAGTCATACTCAACACCACACCATAGGTGTTTCCGCCATCGATAGGGGCAGAATATAGATCGAAGTTCTGCTCAGGGGTCGCAGTGAGGTGGTCACAATCTACTATCACTATTCACCACCCAAAGACTCGGTCAGCGCCCCATGCCATACGCTGTACCCAGCAGAGAACGACCGTCACCTTGGTTGTAACCGCCTGCAATGCCAACACTCCCGCATTTCTATTGATCTTTAGTCCTCTTCTCTTTGGCGGAAGGGGGGGTAGCTCAGTTTATTATACTCATTTTCGCCCTGAGTTAGGTTTCCACATTCAGACATCCTAAATGAATTTTTTTCCCTTATATATATATACATATTTGCTACTTTTCACATACCCAATCTAAGGCTCTTACAGATCGAGGGTCCTTCTGATGGAATTGAGATATCCTTTTGTCAGTCTTGGGCATGTTGAACAATGTGCAATGAGTGAATGATGTTGTATGGCTTTGGCAATATTCAAGTGACTGCCCCCTTTTCCTTCTTCGGCTCCGGACTCCGGAGAATAAGAGTAGACTCAGCATGGATTCAGCTTAATATCCCCTAGTAATGTCAAATTTTTTTCATAAAAAGGAATTGGTTTTCTTGACGATACTGTGATAGTAATAATATTATGAGAGATGATCCGTGCGCAGCACATCAAATTCAGGAATTGCTTCACTAAGTAAGTAGTTATGTCCTTGGTCATTGTTACAACCCACAGTCCCACAATATATAAAATAATTGATGTTACTAGCAAAAGAGGAATCGATTCACCCTTAGAAAGGCCAAGACAATGAGAGAAGGCACTGACCGCTCTGTGGATGCATTTTAGCTTATAATTAGAACGCCGTATGTACTTAAGTACTTGGTCATGTAGTCAGCAGCCGACTTATTACTTGTTAATCTGGCGAGTCTTAAATTTTGCCCCTCCCCCACCAATCCGACTCTACGTATTGATCGCATCCTCCTTCATACTCCCTGTCGCATTCTCGCGGCTTTTCATTTCCTCAGACCATTTCTGCAACTCATATAACAATGTCGAATCTCAACTCGTGGGAAGACGATCCTGCCGCCCAGGAAGATCAAGGGCAAGGATATTCTCAAGGCTATGGCCAAGCCTACGGGAACCTTACCCAACAGACTCAGCAGATGAACTTAGGCAACAATCCTCAAAATCAGCAAAATGCCTTTCGCCCGGGTGCTTCGACCTTCAGGCCCGGCGCCATGTCTTTCCAACCGGGTCAGCAATTCACTCCTCAGGCTCCTCAGGCCTATGGCTACCCGTATGGCATGCAATACAACCAACCATATGTGCCGAACCAATACCCCCAGTATCAAAACTACCAGCAGTACCAACAACCGCAACAAGCCGTCCCGACGAACCAGCCCCAAGCATTCAATGCTAACCCGACTAACGAGCAGCCCCAGGCTGCTGCTGCTCCTGCTCCCTCATCATCGACTACTCAGCCGAAAGCCAAGGTTCTGTCTATAGGCAACCCGGCCGAGAAGCAGACGCCCGACAACGTCTCATCGGCTGCCAAACCGAAAACGAAGGTCTTGTCCATTGCTCCGACCAAGGACGAAGGCAAGACCGAGAGCAAGAGTGATGCCGCAGCTAATGCTCCCATCAAGGAGGAAGCCAAGGACGAGGGCAAAAGCGAAGCCGGATCCAAAGCGGTAGCCAACAAGGCCGTGAAGCAAAGTGGGACTGGGAAGAGTGGAAAGACTTCTCCAACACCATCGTCCGGCCGTTCTAGCCCAAGTCGAAGTTCTAAAAGTGCTGCTGCTCGAGAAGCCGATGCCGTCGAGAAAGAGCAAACTGCCGATGTCGACGATGACACCCTCAAGGAACTCTACGGCAAAGAGAGTCTCAATATTGTATGTTCCGTTTTTCTAAATGCTTCAGGGTTTGCTAACCGTCTCATTCAAGATCTTCCTTGGCCATGTAGATGCTGGAAAGTCGACCCTCGGTGGTGCCGTTTTGTATACCACGGGAATGGTCGACCAACGAACTCTGGACAAGTATAAGCGAGAGGCCAAGGAAATGGGACGTGAAACCTGGTACCTCTCATGGGCGCTGGACCTGACAAACGAAGAGAGATCGAAAGGAAAGACTGTCGAAGTTGGTCGAGGCTATTTCGAGACAGAGAAGCGAAGATATGCCATCCTTGATGCACCCGGCCATAAGAATTACGTCCCCAACATGATCGGTGGTGCCTCCCAAGCTGATGTAGGCATCCTCGTTATTTCTGCGAGAAAAGGAGAGTATGAAACCGGATTCGAAAGAGGTGGCCAGACTAGAGAGCGTGAGTGTCTGAGCCCTTGTGGTTCGGATCGTGACTGACTTCCGCCATCATAGATGCTATGTTGGCCAAGACCCAAGGTGTCAACAAATTAGTCGTGGCAGTCAACAAGATGGACGACCCTACTGCTCAGTGGTCGGAGGAGCGTTTTAAGGAATGCACCACCAAGCTCGGGCAGTTCCTAAAGGGTGTCGGTTACGATTTGAAAAGGGATGTATTCTTCATGCCCATCGCCGCACAGTCAGCGATTGGAATCAAAGAGCGCGTTCCTAAGGATCTTTGCCCGTAAGGCTACAGCCGTCAACCTTCGTAACTGATAATAACTAATGCTGGTTTTGACAGATGGTATGATGGGCCTTCTCTTCTCGAATATCTGGATTCGGTAGGTACACTCCTTTTCATGTCTTCGCGATTTCTATCGATATGTTGGAATGAATAAACTAACTGACGCAACCTGGCAGATGCAAGCAATTGAACGCAAGCTGGCAGCACCGTAGGTTTCTTCGCTTTCTATGACAGAACCTCTGCTGACGTTTTGACTGTAGTTTCATGATGGCAGTCGCCGGAAAGTATCGTGACTTGGGCACAATGGTCGAGGGCAAGATTGGTATACCTCTCTCATGACACCGCTACGAATGCTCTACTGATCCGTTCACAGAGGCTGGTGTTGTAAAAAAGTCCATGGATCTCATCATGATGCCAAATAAACATCAAGTTGAAGTTGCTGCTGTGTATACGGAAACCGAAGAAGAGGTTAGCATTGCTCAGTGTGGCAGTCAAGTTCGGCTACGTCTCCGTGGCATAGAAGAGGATGATATTCTACCGGGATTTGTTCTCTGTTCTCCGAAACGACTCGTTCACAGGGTTTCGTCCTTCGAAGCTCAAGTTCGAATTCTCGAAATACCTAACATCCTCACGGCCGGCTTCAACTGCGTTCTGCACGTCCATGCCGCGGTTGAAGAAGTCACGTTTGCAGCGTTATTACACACCCTGCAGAAGGGAACCGGCCGGAAGAGCAAGCGTCCACCAACCCATGCCAAAAGGGGCGACAGCATCATCGCTCGGCTGCAAGTAACCAGCGGGGTAGGCTCTGTGTGTGTCGAGAAGTTTGAGGACTATCCACAGATGGGCAGATTCACGTTACGGAACCAGGTAAATGTCAACTCTGGATGGTTTCAAAGAGGCATCTGCTAATTTGCGACTTAATAAAGGGCCAAACGATTGCGATAGGGAAAATCACGAAGCTGATTACCGACGGCGCCTAAATTTCGGGGTAGCTCTCCGATAACAGCAACGAATGCGACAGGAGGATTATTCAACTGAGTTGGGGGAATGGGGAGGCTTCAGCATTGTGAAGACAGACATTACTCTACTTCCGAAGCCATCGCAGTGGATAGGTAGATCGCTGCCTCCGTAGCCCCCAGAGATCGTTCATCGGTGCCGGTACAAGGCACGCTATGTTCATGATTCACTAGGACTGTGGCAGTTTGGCCAGGCGAACCGTATCTAAATGCTCTGTCTAGACAGCAACCAGCTGAATAGTATATTCAAAATTGCAGGTGCCAGAGGGTTACGTAGCTAGACCTTACCTATCTACTACAACAGTGACTAGGTAAATGCAAAGCTATTCTGAATACAATTTGATTAGGTATACCTATACGAAACGGCTGTGAAATGTGGCACTAGGTAATGCAAGGAATGATGATTTTAATAAATGATGTTTAGCTCCTTGATGGTAGGTATAGGTATTCATGTGAGCTTTGGAGAAAGGAATACTACTAGGTAGCTACCGAGTCCGTCCGTGAATCATTTTAACCTTTAGCACTCGTGTAAGATGTCGTTAAAAATCAGAGGTCGGTTGTCATGTCAAAGAGATAGATACCTCCCTAGATGTACTGTAGCAATCTTGCTAGAGCCAGCTTCACTCAGTTAGGTAGATACATGTACTGATGAGAGCGAGTGTGATGCCGCTAGGGCGAGAAATCACGTGGTCGGTCACGCAGAGTCTAGATAATAGTCAAGAAGCGACGAAGAAACCACGGTGAGATGGCCGAGTGGTTATGGCGCTGCGTTCAGGTACACCTGAAAATCTAACTTGATTAAAGTTTCGCAGTGGAGCAATCCGCGTGGGTTCGAGTCCCACTCTCATCAGTCTTTATTTACTTTTGTCTTTGCTTTTGCTGTTGAGAATCTCTCTTTGAGAGTGTAAAGGGGGGTTGTTTTCGACTTTTTGTTTGTTGTGTGTATGTGTCTGTGTCTGGGAAAAAATTGCAATGACGGAGGCATCTAGGCTCGTATGGTTGATGTTAATGAGAATTGTATTATTTTGGTCTTTATATGTCCCCGATTCCATACCCGACTTTATATTTCCCCCGCTAAGCACGTAACCTTATCTGATATTATATACATCTATCCATTTCGACGCCATGCGAAATGATTGATAATTTTGTAATTCTTCACCCATCTCCTTTTACTTTTTCTCAGGACATATGTATACCGATCTTTATATTCGACTCTACTTCGATAATTGTAGTTGTTTAAATGATTGAGAAGCTATGTTATGGAATAATGGTGATTAAGATTGTCCCTTAAATGGCTAAGCACTAAAGATAGTATAATTCAAAGGTATCGCCATCCCGACGTCAATTTTCATCTAATTGTCAACTGATCTAAGAATCAATTAGGGTACGATGGGCCAGTTAAGCATCCTAGCTATTCAAAAAGGATAGCGGTTTATTAAGTAAAGCCTGATATCTATTATCTGAGACGAGTTACGAGACTGCCACCTGAAACTATGGTTAGTCGTCGGTAGTCATATCTGAAGCTACAAACACGCGTTCCAGATATCAACGGCAAATCATCTACTGCCTATTTTAGCAACATGGCAACAAAGCGAAGACATAGCCCCGAGCTAGTCTCGAACCCGTTCATCAAGAAAAGAAACCTAGAATGGAGCTTCGAGCTATCTGGCTCTACGCACAATGAGAGCAGCAGCAGCAGCAGCAGTAGCAGCTCTCGAGAGCCGGCCGAGCACCAGACACCTGGATCCGACGAAGCTGGCTTACCCACAACAGCGGCCGTAGAGGCGGGAAAGGCCAAGATCGACGACCACCTAAGCTATTTCAGTTCGCGTCTGGCGCAAGCGACGCTGTCGCCGTTTCCCCCGGACACGACTCGCCTGTCCATTGAGGCGTACCGACGGCTGTACGAGGCTCACGCGGGCAGTCCGAGGGGCGCCCACTTCGTCATCCACCAACACGACCACCCCGTCGCGGGCACTCACTACGACCTCCGGCTGCAGATCAACGAGACGAGCAGCGCCTCGTGGGCCATCATGTACGGGCTCCCGGGCAACCCGAATAGCAGGCGTCTGAACCGCAACGCCACTGAGACGAGAGTCCATTGCTTGTGGGTGAGTCTGTTTTTATTTCTTATTTGTCTGACTTAGACGGGCGTGATGTCTATCTATCTAAGGCTTGGTTTCATTTTCATAAGTATGGAATCATATATGTATATAAATATATAACTACGTATATACATACATGACCGCCCTCAACCCCAACTAAAACCGTCGCAGAACCACCTCATCGAAACCGCCTCCGCCGCCACGGGCTCCCTGCTCATCTGGGACGCGGGGACATACACCGTGCTCCCGCATCCCCATCACCACCAGCAAGAACCGGACTCGCAATCCTCATCCTCCCCATCATCGGAAGAACACGACCCAGCAGCAGCAGTAGACGCGCAAACCGAGCAACAGAAACTCCACGCCGCTTTCCAGGCGCGCAAGATCCGCGTCCGCCTCGCCGGCACCCGTCTGCCCAACCCCTACGTGCTGAACCTACGCCTACCGCACGCCGAGGCCACGGCGAAGGAACGCGCACCGCTGCCGCGCCGGAACCGGAAGAGGAGGAGGCGCAGCGGCCCCTCCTTCCCCTCCTCCTCCGCCACCGCCTACCAGACGACGGACTCGGACTCGGACTCGGGCGTGGACTCAGACGCGGGAATTGTACCACCACCACCACCGCTACCACCGCCACCACCCCAGGAGGGGCAGGGGGGGAAGAAGAAAGGGGAGAAAGAAGCACGCCCCTCAGCCACGGAGTGCGAGCTCAAGGAGGAGGAAGAGGACGAGGAGGACGCTCATGTGCGCCAGAGGAACGCGTACGCGGGCGCCGCCAACTCGATCGGCAGCGTGCACCAGCGGCGGTGGTACGCGTCGCTGGACCGGGCGGGGAGCGGGCTTTCCGCAAGGCGGCGGGGGCGCGGTCGCATGATTTGGGAGTCCGCGGCGGATCCCGGGGACGGGGACGGGGATGGGGATAGGGATGGGGATGGGGAGGGGCATGGGAATCGGCTCGCGTTCCCGTTCTGCGTCCGCGGGCCCCCGGTCGAGCGGAGCGTCGTCACGGGGCGTCGCGGGGCCGATGTCCTTGCGGACGAGGGCGTCGTCGGGTTTATAGGACGGAGGGGGTGGCGGCCTGTGCTGGATTGAGGGTAAGGGGAGGAGAGATAGGGGCAGGACGAATGCGCATGGGTATATGTATGGGTATGCGAACTGAGCACGGGGTGCTGTGTATAAAGAAGTAGGTAGGTATCATAAATACATGGGAGCCGCTTGTCGTCAACGGGCGGGAAGGAATCCGATATGTACAGTGATAATACAGAAGACGGAACAGACAGATCGAGTCAACAAGGTAGGTACTTGGTACTGATGATCGAACCCGCAGCCGGTAGAACCATCCAACCGACCAACACAGTGTCCTGTCCTGCTCTCGAGGTATGTACTCAATTAGAGCGGACATATGCCAAAGTAAAATAAGCGTTTCAAGAAAGAAATCAGAAAAAAAGTCACGCCGCCATGCTAGTAACAAGCCACACCCGCCCCAACGCCGAATGACATGAAGGTCCTCATCCCGTACGTAGGATCCATCGTACACATATATACGTAGGTACACGTCAAATCTTTCCTCGTCTCGTCTCATCCCATCTGGCCGCACTAAGCCCGTCGTCACTCATTTCCGGCCATTCAAAAGGGGCAACGCCGATCGATCGATCACGAAATGTCGCCTCTCTGCCACTGCCTCTGCCTCTTCTTCACCCGTACCTCATGGGCGCCTGTGCCTGCGGCGGCCCGCCCTGTCCTAATCCGGGAGGCGGGCCTCCTCCCTGCTGGGGCGGGGGATAGTTCATGGGTACGTTGTCGCCGCCGCCGCCATGCTTCATGCCCTGCACATCGGGCCGGGATTCCAGAGGCTGGGCGAAGTTGCAGATGTGGCAGGAGACGTCTTGGTAGCCGTGGATGGAGAGCGGGAGGACGGGCTATACAGATGTTCGGGGTTGTCGTTAGTGAGAGCTTCTTTCTTGTGCGGTATATATGTAGATATGGCATATATAGTGGGAGGAAATAGATGGAGGGGAAGGGACTGGACTGGACTCACGACGAAGCAGAAGGTAAACCACGGATTGCTCTTGATGACATGGCCGGAGTAGTTGCCGCAGTTATGGCATTGGCAGGTGACGTTCTCGTAGCCCTCGACTTGTTTGCGGAAGGTGTGCTCGCCGCAGGTAAATATCAGACACATAGCGAAGAATAGCTAGATTGGTTGGCTGCCTGTCTGTCTGTCTGTCTTTATGTGATAGATGCGCGTGGGCGTAGGCGTCTGTTTTGATTTCGAAGTGTAGGTTGGGGTTCGCAGTGACAATGATGGCTTCGGGCCTATGGATCGAGAGCTGTTGGGGATTCCCTTTTTTTTTTTTTAACGGTAGACAGGTTTATGTAGATGTAGAAAATAGATGCGGCGCATAACTACATACGGTTATGTAGGATGTTGGTGAAATAGGATGCGCGTCAATGGGGCTGTGCTTTGTGACGGGCCAAGACACTGGAAGACAGGTCGCCAGCTTAGGTCGCCTAACCACTGACGTAGTGACACTCGGTACCTACATAAGTACTTATGTACATACATGTACCTACCTAAGGCTGCTAGGGTGTGTAGGTGCTCACTGTAGCTTTAGCGAATAACCGCTGCGATTGGGGCCCCGAGGTCCCGTAAGCCTTATCTCGCTAACCTTATCAAATGCGATGACTCGAGGCTCTTCTAACAGATCTGTAATAAAATTTACAGAGCTTCCATCAACATCCCAATCAAGTCGGAGCAACTTAACTTACTGAACGACTCCTTGATATCTAACCAGAAAAACCGCCGCCCATCCGAGGCTCTAAGAATAGCTCATGAGCACCACCACCAGCTCGCCATGATCACGCATCCACGACTACGATGCTCTACGACCTCAACATCGCCTGGTCGCCGACGACCAGCTCCGCCGACCTCGAGCGCACCCTGAAGTTCAGCGCCTCGCTGGGCTACAACACAGTCGCCCTGAACCACACCATACACCCGCCCATCACAGGGCCCATCGTGAACCCTCTCCCTCGTATCCCCCCTTCCCCCTCGTCCTCGTCCACCCAACAACCACCACAGCGGTCCCCCCTCCCCGCGATCCTGCACCGCGCAACCCTGACGCTCTCGGACCCGTCGACGCACCACCGCCTGCCGCAGCTCGCGCAGGCGTACGACCTGCTGGCGGTGCGCCCGACGACCGAGAAGGCCTTCCAGGCGGCGTGCGTGAGCATCGCCGAGGCGTCCCTCATCAGCCTGGACCTGCGCGCGCGCCTGCCCTTCTACCTGCGGCCCAAGGCCTGCATGGCCGCCGTCAAGCGCGGCGTGCGCTTCGAGGTCTGCTACGCGCAGGTCCTGTCGCCCAACGACGCGGGCTCCGACCCCCGCGCCCGCGCCGCCTTCCTCGGCAACCTCGTCCAGCTCGTGCGCGCCACCCGCGGCCGCGGCCTCGTCGTCAGTAGTGGTGGGGATGGGGGTGGCGGGGGCGCTGAGGCGGTGATGGCTCTGCGCGCCCCCGCCGACGTCGTCAATCTGCTCGCTGTCTGGGGGCTCCCCGCCGACCGCGCCGTCGAGGCCATGCGCGCCAACCCCCGCGCCGTCGTCGTCAACGAGGGGATTCGGCGCAGTGGGTTCCGGGGTGTCATCGATATCGTCGGGGTCGCCGAGGGGCGAAAGGAGGGAGGCGATGAGACAAAACAACAGGGGGCGGTTAAGAAGAAGGGCGGACAACAACAACAGCAACAACGA